ATCTCTGTGCTGTATAAAATCAAGAGTGTATTTAAGGAATTCATGTGATCAGACAAAGGAAAAACGGTTCTGAGTTCAGGGAAGTCTATCATTTACTCACTGTGGAACTTTTAGCACACTCTGAGACTCAGTTTCTTTATCTATAAAATGGGCATAATAAATTGACTTCATAGGGTGGGTGTAATGATTAAATGATAACATGTTGGCATGTGTAGACTATCGTGGCACACAAAATCTGCTAGTTTCTGCCCCCCGCCAACCCTGACCCCTCCTGTTTTTAGAAACGCTTTTATATGTGTTTGGGGTGGGCTGGCCATCATAAAATCTATGACTGTCCTTGCACAGCGATAGTAGAGACAGTCCCTCCATTATGGCCGTGACCACCAGCCCCTTTGAGTGAGCGCCTGCTCTGTGCCAGATGTTGCAATGGGTGCTTTACACACTTCATTTCCTTTAGCCTCTCAACACCTGAATTCAAGTTTCCTGGAAACTTTGGGAAGGTATTTCTTCAAGAAAATATTTCCATAGTCAAGCACATTTCATAAATGTTGAAAATTACATACTCCTCATGGAAAGTTAGTTATAATATGTAACTTGAACTAGAAAATTAAAGATCTTGAGCAGTCTTGTATAAACATCATTTCATTAACTTACATATCACAGGGGGAATCATCCCTCCAAGACTGGTGTTTGTTTGTTTGATGTTTGTGCTTAGCAACTGCTTACATTCTGCAGCTCCAGTATTTCTTGGGATACATACTTTGTGCACTAGAGTTCTGTTTGTGCTGCTTAAGATCAAATGAAAGTTTGGTAAAATTTTGCTTCCCAACTGACATTATGTTCTTTTCTGCTTTCATCGTTGGGTATTATTCACTCTTATCGTCTCCATTCATTTACTACTGTGATGGGTTTGTTTTCCTCTGCTATGAAATCTATTTCTGCCTTCTCTCATCACTGATCAGTCTGCTGCTCATTATAAAAGTCAGCATTTCTACAGACTGTGGAAGAAAAAAAATCTGATATAGAGAGAAAGAGGGAGGAAGGGAGAGAGGAAGGGAGGGAGAAAGCTGAAAATAAAAAGAAAGAAATGGAAAAGAGACAGAGGGAGACACATGGGGGAGAAAAAGGGAGTGGGAAAAAAGAGAAGGAGAGAGGGGTTAACCTGTGTAGAATTTGGGGGAACACTTTGGGAGAAAAGGACTTTTAAAAAGTCTAAATTATATGAAATTAAATAGATTCATTTTTGTTAGAATTTTTAGCCATAGCATCAAGTGTGAAAATAATAATGATTTACAGAATAGTAATATTTCCTTCAAAATTTATTTTTTCTTATGATATTACTTAAAATTTTTTTCAAAATTTGTTCAGTTTTATATAGAATCTAATCATGTCTCAAGGCAGGAAAGGAATAATAAAATAGCGTCATTTTTAAGGTGCTCTTTAGGACATGGATTTTGTCCTATTTTTGTTTAAATAAAGCAAAACCATGGCAGCATCTGGCACAGAATAAGTGTTCAATAAATAAATGAACTTCTGCACCATAAAAATAGGGCCATAAATCCTAAAACCACAACTGACATAAATCTGCTGCCTAAATATCTTTAATATGCCCAGTTTGTCATCTTTTTTAGAACTGAACTTGGGGTTCTTTTAGGTACAGTTGTTACTATTAAGAGTGTCCAAAGGTAGTCACTTTTATTATTATGCTTTTTATCTTTTAAAAAAAGCATCAGAACTTTGTTCTGATAATTTCTGGAAGGATGGTTATCACTAAACTGGTTTAAATTACTATTACTGAATTAAATTTATAAATCACTATTTATAAATCATTATTACATTTGCACAGATATCAAGGTATTGTCTTAGTCCATCCAGGCTGTTATAAAAAAAAATACCATAGACTAGGTCTCTTAAACAATAAACATTGATTTCTCACAGTTCTGGAGGCTGGGAAGTCTAAGATCAAGGTTCCGGGGGACTTGGTGTTAGGTGAGGGTTGGCTTCATGCACTGTAGACAACCATCTTCTCATTGTAATCTCATCTAGTGGAAAGAGAAATAAACCTACTAACCCCACAGGAGTCCACCTTCGTAAGCCAATCACCCCAAAAGCCTCACCTCCTAATTCTCTCATTTGGGATTAGGATTCAAAATATGGATTTGAAGGGGCATACAAATATTTAGTCCATAGCAAGACTCACATTTTCTCGTGTTTTCTTAGGATTCTTTACCATGTTCTTACCTTCTTAGTATATCTCTTCTCATAATTATGTAAGTGCTAAGATTCTTTTTGTCCATACTTCCCAGGAGCTGGGCTTTCCATATGGCTCAGCAGTAAAGAATCCACCTGCCAATGCAGAAGACGCAGGTTTGATCCCTGGGTTGGGAAGATCTTTTGGAGGAGGAAATGGCAACTCACTCCAGTACTCTTGCTGGGAAAATTCCATAGACAGAGGAGCCTGGCAGGCTACAGTCTATGCCAGGCTTCAAAGGGTTGCAAAGAGTCAGACACAACTCTGTGAGTGACTGAGCATACACCCAGGATATATCGAAGAGAATGGCTGAATTAAGAAATTACCAGAAAATATATTCAATGAGGATCATTTAATAGTAAAAAAAAATACTAATTTAGTTACTTTCATGGTTACATGGTTACTGATATGCATGGTGTGTGGTATGTGGCCCACCTGGGCGGAGATATTCAACCACACCTGAGTAGTGACTGCTTTCTTTCTGAGATGAGGTTATTCTTTTTGGTATTGAACTTAGTTCAGGAATGAGGTGAGGAACTGGTTGTAGTAAACAAAATAATGTAACTGTGAATGCAAATTTTTTTTTTCCAAGATGGGGGTATAAATACAAATATAAAAAGGCCAGGTGTAAAACTTTCTAGCTCGAAAATCTAATTGACAATTACAGGCCTCCTTCAGGAACAATAGGGACAAAAGAAAATGTGTCCAGATATGCTATGTCTGCTTCGGTGGTAAAGCTGGCCAACCTCTGATAAGATTTGACATCTTCAATTGGACGCACTGGAAACTTCATCTAACGAGTGTCTGTGGCAGCAATGGGAGTTGTCTGTGTGTGTACATGTGTACTCTCCAGTGTGTGATCCATGAAACTCAGCAAAATAAAATTCAAAACTAAGTCTAAGAAGGGTATTTGGCAGGCAGTTTGCTATTGCATACAGAGGTGACATTGACAAAATTCTGACCAGTCATTATAAGAGATCTGTATCATGCTTATAATTTTTGACTGCGCTGAAGCGTCACAGAGAGCCAGGGATGTTTAAGTCATCTGCTTTTAAGCACAAACTTGCTCACCCCAGCCTGGGAGTGGAAACCTGGCCAGCTTTGGCCGCCGCTCCCTTCATTGCCAAGGGTTTCTGTTAAAAGTCTTCTTTATGTTAAGCTGCTGTCTCTATCTCTCTCTCTGCAACTTTCATCACCCTCTGCCCTTTGGAGACACAAAGAACAAATTTAATTTCTGTTTTCTATGACAGCCAGCCATTCAATTATTCATTCACTCATTCAACAGACCTTTATTGAGTCACAGCCATATGCAGGCACTGAGAACGTAAAGGTCAAAAATACCAAACCATGTTTCCAAGAATGCCCCAGTCCATGACATCTGTTACTGCTTTTTGCAGTTTCTGCAGTATAGGGCAATTCCTCATTTGTTACCATGCTGGCCTTCCTTGCTACTCCTCTCTTTTGAATGAGTTGATCAAAGATCTTCAAAGTGGGAGCATGAGTGGGGCCCAGCTGAAAATGATTCTATAGGAATTTCTTGACCAGAGCAAAGGGCACACACTCTGACATCTCTCCCTCAGTGAGCTCTGATGAGATGCAATCAAAGTCATCATCACATCACACATGACAGCAATGTTTTTTGTTTTCCATTTATTGAATTAAATCCAAAATCATCATCCCACCCCCAAGGCCCTGCCCAACCTAGGTGTATTATTTTATATTCTACTACTCCCCAATGTGAACTTATGGTGTGTTTTCTTTTCTCTCTTTCTTTGCTAATTTGTTTCTCTTCCAAGAATACCCCCATGGTGGCTTGTTTCAAGGCTAAATGTTTAAAAAGGGTCATTTGATGCTTTGCCTGTTGTTGTTCTTCCTGAAACCTCCTCAGGAATTTTCCTGAAGTTGTTCCCTGTCATGTGGAACATGGTAGGTCTAGAAGAGTGCCTGTCAGATTAGTTGGAGGCCCACTGTGGACCAGACTTGGCAAGGTATTGAATAGTATCTGTATCATTGGAATATAACTCAGAGTTCACACTTATCATCAACTAATCCTCACAGTAACTGTCTGAGAAAAGAGACAACTGATAAGTTTTAGATTAATATGGTCAATAAAACTGGGGTCCCCACTGCTTTCTTACTCTGTATCTGCTGATGTTTGTACTGCCTGAGTCTTATAGGTATTATAATGCCGAGACACAAGAGACACATGTTTGATCCCTGAGTCAGGAAGATCCCTTGGAAAAGGAAATGGCAACCCACTCCAGTATTCTTGCCTGGAAAACCCCCTGAACAGAGGCGTCTACCAGGATCAGTTCAAAATGTCGCAAAGAGTCAGACACAACTGAACAGCTAAGCACGTCATGTATGTTGCTAAAAAGGACTTTCCTGTTTTAACGCCTAATCTTGAGTTCCTCTCAGAGAGGCAGCTGTCTCTGTTTAGAAAAACATGCTAACATTGCCTTAGGGGAAGATATGAAAGCATACTTTAGAAGCTAGGGAAATAAAGAAAAAAAGCTACTTAAGGCTACTGGGGGCCTGGCGTGCTGTGGTTCATGGGGTCGCAAAGAGTTGGACACGACTGAGCAACTGAACTGAACTAAAGTGACTGAAGGCTACTTAAGGAGAATCGGGGCCTGAAGAGTGAGCAGAAGAAGGAAGAGAGGGGTGGAGAGACAGGAAATAATGGGCAAGTGGAGAAATGGAAGAAAGGGAGCAGAAAAAAAATGGCTCAAGGACTTCTGAGCACAGGGATCTCTTCAATTCCACGGCCACGTTCTTTGCTGTTGGATTTTGAGGTCTAACACCCATTACCACAAACCTTCAGTGAAGTCTGCTGTCTCCAAATGCCTTGGTGTGTGGATGTTCCGGGTGAAATCAAGCACGGGGAACTTTACTGACTGTCTTAACAGTGCAGGGCAGGATGGCCGTGAGATAAGAAAGTTCTGCAAGAAAATGCCAGAATCAGAAATTAGCCTTAGAATACACACCCCATGGAATTAGTCCCATTTTATAAGAACTCTCAAAGGAGGGGAGCAACCCCATCCAACATGTGGGTTACATTTACATTTCTGCCTGCCAACTAGACGTGAGGCAATTTGAGTGCAAAGGCTGTGGTTTCGATTTTGCAGTCCCTCAAGCCTCATGCTCAGATTCCCTCACTGCCTGTTTTATTTTTCAGTTTCAAGTTCCACACTCAGCAGCTTTTGAACTGCTATTCAAATGTTTATCATTTCCAGGGAAATTTCTCATTTGGTCCATATCTGAAATTTAAGGTCACTTTTTTGAGTATACTGTTTACACAAATATAGTATGTTTTTCATTAGTAACTGTGAAAAACACCCAAAGGTGCCATTTCCAATCAATTCTGATTTTCGTTATTTTATGTCACTTAGGTTAGTATCAGTATTATTTCTCCTTGTTCAACCAACCACAGAATTCAGGCATATATTTTATAGACAGGCTAACCTGAGACTTCTTCCCATCTAGACCTTCTTAGAAGTTATATTAGTTGAGGAAAAACAGTAGCAATAAAAACCTACTTCCCAAATTGAGTGCTGAGTTGAGATATATATTGTAGGGTCACAATACATAATTTCATGCTCTGTGATCTATTTCATTGTCAACCTGACTTTATTAAGTTTAAATTTGAGAATTAGTTGACAGTCTACTTTCTGTAGTTATAAGAATGACTGTAGTACTCATGTGGACAATGTAAAAGTGGAACTAATTTATTTATTAAAGTCAGAGGTTTTTACTTCAGTGTTTCAATAGATAAAATAAAATGTAGTGAAAGCACTGAATTGGTAAAACTTGTTTAAGGTAAGCCAAATTTATCAACCCTCCTCACCAAGAAAGAATGATGAAATTTTCAATTCATGACTTCAAATCTATTTTCCATACGGGAATAATTTACATTTGTATCTGTATGAGTCATTATTATATTTATATCCTACTTAGCAGAATACTGACTAGTGATCTGATGGTAAGAACAGTGGGCTATGAATCATGAATACTTAGGTCTGGCCGTGACCCTGCCTCTAACCAGCTGAATGAATTTGAACACCTTTCTAGATTTTAAGTTTTCTTAATGAGAAGTGAGAAGGGGTTTTACAGTTTCTCTCAGCACTATTGACAGTTATAATTCTCAGTAGTAGTTCCTCATGGAAATTAAAGTTATTTTCCAAATTTAAAAACGCTTCATGGCAAGGATTCCACTTAAAGGAAATATTTCCGAGCAGGCTGATAAAATATTGAAGGACTAAGCCAAGAAGTTTTACTGATTACAAAAGTAGACTTCGCTAGTTCTAGTGGTGTCTTATTTTCAGTGGGTCAAATGTATCACATATGCTGGAATTCCAATGCTTGACTAATGGGCCCATAATCTGCTATGAAGGACATTTATATATTCATTCATTTTGGTTGTTTTTATTCTACAATGAAAAACAAGGTTGCAATGCCAAAGAGGACCACAGAAAGAACAGTACAAAGCTTCCGGTCCAGCAAAGCCATCCATCTTTGTCTTCTGCTTTGGTCCTCAAACCCTCCTTCCTCTGTGTTCAGATTTTCTTTTTGGCGCCTCAACCCTATTTATTCCCAAGTGCTGTATTCTTCTCTTTAGGGTTTAAAGAAATTGGTCCAATTTCATCTTGTCTGGCCAACTTACCAGGAGAAGTTATCCTAGAATAATTGCCTGGGAAGTCACTTCATTGTGGTGTGATTTTTCCTTCAGAAAAATCCCTTTAGAAGCTTCCACTGGGAAGAAGCCCATTTCTCACAGACAAAGGACAGAAATAACCAGCGAGTGGATCTCCCAGAAGATCTATGTCTTCCAAAAGAGCAAGTAGATAAATTCTGAAGATTAAGAAAGGAGGTGAAAGGATAATGGGTTAGGAATGGGGACATTTTATCTCAAAATATATAATCTTGGATTTAACTAAAAATTTAGCCAGTGAAAAGCTTAAAATGATAGTTCAAAATGAGGCATTTTGGCTTTCATAATGTTTGCATCTTTGCTTTTCAAAATTTAGTGAAGTAATATATTTATATATAAAATAAACTCTGCTGTTAATATTTGGAGTGAGAGTAAGTCCATAGAGTACTATTAGACAAGGATGCATTTTTACAAATTAGAGTTTAAGCATGGAAGGAAGTGATGAGAATAAGGAGTTCATTATTATATCTTCATTATGTGAGAGCCAACTTCCAAGATAGCGTGAAGATTTAATTTTTATACCCCAGCTTCATTCTGACCAGTGGCTTACTGTATTGATTGTATACATCCAAGAGGGGAGAAGCAATGCCAAAAGTTTGACCATTAATAACTGGGATCATGGCTAATTTGAGGGACAAAGGTATTTTTATACAGATCAAATTTTGGCATACATTACCTAATCACTTGCCTCCAACTTTTACTCTTTCTTGTTTGTGTGGACTTAGTCACTGATTTAACAATGTGTGCTCTTTTCTTCTTCTAACTGAAATATTTCCTTTCCAGAAACTTCAGGAAAAATTTCAGATATTCATAGTTCAGATTAGTACTTGAACATCTGTATCATTAGTTCTTGAACATTAGTACTTGAAACTTCAGGAAAAATTTCAGATATTCAAATAGTTCAGATTAGTACTTGAACATCTGTATCATTAATTCTTGAACATTAGTACTTGAACCAGTTTAATTCTCAGGGCTCTTAAGGAAGCACATGAAGGTTTTGGTGGAAAGGAGCATAATTTTTGGTTCACTGGACGTCTGGGACTATTTTAAATCATTTCTTGTGTTGCTTTGTTTCTTCTGATCCTGATAGTTGGATTAACAGGAAGCAGTATGGGGCCAAATCAAAAGTTATTTTTCATGTTTGGGTGGAGCTAATGTGCCCATATTATTCAAGTCAATTTAATTCAATGATATCTGTTGTCACGCAGCAGGTCATCTTTGTAGGCTATGAAGAAGAAATATATGTAAAGCAAAATAACTGTGGATTAATCATAACTCCTTTGCAAATGTCAGAGACACAAAGTTTATGTCAAAGAAAGGTTTATTAGAAGGGTACTTGGTTCTTTATCAATTAAAAGAAGTAATTATAGGAGAAGACTTAATAAGTTGTGAGATAGAGACACAACTGGATCATCTGAGCGTCAAGACCAGGAAAAAGCAAGAACTTTACATCACCAGGACTTCTGTTACCCTTTCTTGTCTCTGCATCACTCTGTATCTTAGTCTTCCTTCCTTCAAAAACCAGCCTAATCTACATGAAGTAGAAAATGGACATCAAAGCTTCCTAGTTTAGTGTTCCTCCCACTAGTGTAGACTCATTCTTTTTTCTCAGTTCTAAGTCAGAAAAGCCTATACAAGAACTCTCAGTGCCCAAGTGTGGGTTATGCACCCTCTCTCTATATATGGAATCCTATGTGAAGGTAGGAGCATATACTGAGTCTGCAACTGACTTTAGGGTGCTTGGTTTTAGCAGCTTGTGTTTTAGTAGCCACATTAGGGTAGCTAACAAAGAGTTAGTCCTCTGGGAAAAGTGGGCAATGGAAATCAGACACATAGTGAGAGATTAGACGAGCAGGAAAAAAATGCCAATTGAAAAGGAGAGATAGCAAGGGAATTTAATAATCTAAGCCTGAGCACTGTTGGCAAAGGTCTCCCTTTAGAAATGGTAAACAATGGCCTACCCTGATCCAGTTTCAGTGATCAAATATATATATATTTTCACAGTTTAGAAAACTCAGTCTAAGCAACCAGCCTGAATCTGTCATCTTGGATATCTTGACAGAAGCAAGAGCAAATCTTCCCTTGATGGAAATACAAGTCAGGTCTTGCAAGATTCCCACAGATAGGACACAGCTAAATATGAACTCGTGATCCAAAATTACAAATCATCAGAGGAAACTGCCAAACAGCAAAGTCAAAGAGAAGCTCTCAAAAGCAGTAAGACAAAAATCAGTTAATTCTAAAAGAAAGATAATTAGCATCACATCAAATTTCTCAACAGACTAATAAAGATAGAAGACATTAAAATGATATTGTAAAAAGTGCTGAGAGGAAATATATGTCAACCCTGATTTGCATATCAGATCCAACCACAATTTAAAAGGAAGAAATTTATCTAAAAGGAAGTTATGATACTCAAACTGAAATGATAGACAAAAGGACAAATCTAATTAAATGTATAAATCAAAATTAATTAAGTAGTAATTATATGTGTTTACATATATATATGCTTACACATACATAAAAAACAATAAAAGTCTCATGGGTGATAAAATAACTATTACATAATTAAAATGCTGGGCAGGGATAGCATAAATTTGGAGGAGAATGACAAGATTTAAACATTCTAAAGCACATGAATTAAAAAGAAGGTAGAAATATAGATAAACATCACATTTATTTTAATTTGTCTTAAATATCAATATTAAGTACAAAAGGAATAGAAAATTATGTAAAATACAGTCATAATTCTAAAAATTAGTCTAATCCAAGAATATTAACAATCTTAAAAATGTAAATATTGAATAAATTATACTATTTAATTTAAATAGTTTTAAAATTAGACAAAAATATATTTCTGCTATTATTTGTAAGTGTCATAAATAAAACATAGGTTATAGAAATACTGGCTATAAAGAATAGAAAAATATATAGCAATCAAATACTTACCAATGAGGTTCATGAAAGTGTGAAACTGAAATCGTTAATTGCTCAGTCATGTCCAACTCTTTGTGATCCCATGGACTGTAGCCTGCCAGGCTCCTCTTTCCATGGAATTCTCAAGAATTCTGTAGTGGGTAGCCATTCCCTTGTCCAGGGGATCTTCCCAACCCAGGGACTGAACCTGGATCTCCTGCACTGTAGGTGGATTCTTTACCTTCTGAGCTACTAAGGAAGCCCAAAAAGCTCATATGGATCCCTTAATATTATACAAAATAGTCAGGAAAGCAAAAGCTTTATCAGAGCTACAAAATTTACAAGTGTTCTAATTTATCAGGAATATAAAACAACCAAATTGCATGTGCCTAGTAATATTAATCACAAAGTGAAAATGAACAGAACTGGAATTAAAAAGGAGTATTGGTAAATACACTCTTGTGGTGGAAGATTTTAACACATCTCTCTAAGTAACTGATTGATTAAGAAGACCAAAAATTGGAAATAATACAGATTATTTCAATAATAATAATAAGCTTTCTTTAAAGTCCATTTATAGAACTCTGCATCCTTCAACTGAGCCATAATTTTTTCTTTTGTATATGTACAACAGTTATGAAAATTAGCCGTATATTGTTATAAAATAAGCCTCTGTCAAAGAAGAAATATGAATTTCCCAGTATTATACAACCTTTAAATCATATTCTTGTATATTTAAAACAAAAAATCCAACTCTAAATGATTACTATAGAAAAAAATTATAATAAAAGCTAGAGAATACTAAGAAGCAAATGATAAATAAGTTATTTTTGGTACTTATCAAAATTTGTGGAATGCAGTTGAACTCTTGGTTAGAGGGAAACATATAGCTTTAGATGCTTACATGACAAAATGATAACAATTAAATCTTGAAAAGCTAAGGGTATGTCTCAGTAATTTGAAACAACAAAGTTAAAATGAACCTAAATCATTTTGTAGTCCTTTACAAGATAGACAGGTATGGCCACAAGAGGAGAGTTTTAAGAGAAAACAGAGTTTGTTTTACTTAGAGGTCCTAGAGACTACACATGCAGGACCACATGGATCAGGAGGCAAGTGCCAGGGCAAGGTTTAGGCCACAGCCTTTACTAGGGGTTTTGTGGGAAACACAGGCCAGACAGGGTGAAGAGTTTAGGACTAACCATTTGAAAACTTTTGGAAGGGCTTTGGGCTCCTGAGAAATCTGTATGCAGGTCAAGAAGCCATAGTTAGAACTGGACATGGAAACACAGACTGGTTCCAAATTGGAAAGGAGTACGTCAAGGCTGTATATTGTCACCCTGCTTATTTAACTTATATGCAGAGTACATCATGCAAAATGCCAGGCTGGATGAAGCACAAGCTGGAATCAAGATTGCTGGGAGAAATATCAATAACCTCAGATATGCAGATGACACCACCCTTATGGCAGAAAGTGAAGAAAAACTAAAGAGCCTCTTGATGAAAGTGTAAGAGGAGAATTGGCTTAAAACTTAACATGCAGAAAACTAAGATCATGGCATCCAGTCCCATCACTTCATGGCAAATAGATGGGGAAACAGTGGCTGACTTTATTTGGGGAGCTCCAAAATCACTGCAGATAGTGACCGCAGCCAAGAAATTAAAAGACACTTGCTCCTTGGAAGAAAAGCTATGACCAACCTAGGCAGCATATTAAAAAGCAGAGATATTACTTTGCCAACAAAGGTCCATCTAGTCAAAGCTTTGAGTTTTCCAGTAGTCATGTATGGATGTGAGAGTTGGACTATAAAGAAAACTGAGCACTGAAGAATTGATGCTTGTGAACTGTGGTGTTGGAGAAGACTCTTGAGAGTCCTTTGGACTCAAGGAGATCCAACCAATCCATCCTAAAGATCAGTCCTGGGTGTTCATTGGAAGGACTGATGCTGAAGCTGAAACTCCAATACTTTGGCTACCTGATGCGAAGAACCAGCTCATTTGAAAAGGCCCTGATGCTGGGAAAGATTGCAGGCAGGAGGAGTAGGGGATGATATAGGATGAGATTGTTGGATGGCATCACCGACTCAATGGACATGAGTTTGAGTCAACTACAGGAGTTAGTGATGGACAGGGAGGCCTGGCGTGCTGCAGTCCATGGGGTTGCAGAGAGTTGGACACGACCGAGCGACTGAACTGACTGACTGAACTTGGTCTACAGGAGTGGTTCCTTGTTGAGCTGAGTGGTTTCTGGACCTGGACGAGAAAGGCGGAGGAATATTGCCTCTGGGGTATAAGAACTGTATGAAGAAATGTGGCTCTGTTGGTTAGTTTGCATATCAAGGGCATGCTCCTTCCTGGGTCCTTTGCTATCTTTAAGAATCAGCTAATCCATCATAAAAAATATTTATAAGATACAGTAGAAAGAAGGAAATAATAAGAATCAGGCATTTACAAAACAGATGAAAAAATATACTAAAAAGGATCAAAAAAGTGAAGAAACAGCATCAATTAAAGAACTCTGACAACTTTGATCAAGGCAAACACAATTAACATTTGGAATAAAGGGGAATAACTAAATATACTGGAGATGTTAGATAACATGCAGCAAAAATCTTAAGGTTGAAAAACTTGAAGACTGAGATAAACAGATCATTTTTTCTTAAATTATGTCAAAATAGACTCAAGAATAAGCATAAAACTGAAGTAAACCTATCATTATTTGAAAAGATGGAATCGACACTTGATAGTGTTATGGGCTATCACTTGTGGCATTGTTTTGGTTGTTTGGGAGTAGGTATATTTTTGCAGAGAACTGGGTCCAAAGTGTGGTGGGGTCATGTATGGTGTATTAATTCTACTTTGGTTGGGGTGAGAGCTCAGGCGAGATTAGTGAGATTTTATTTCACACAAGTGGGAAAAATAGAATTTGAATCTATATTGAAGGATTAAATTTAGCCCACACTCTTGAGAGTTTTCTTCGTGCTACTGGTCTGATGTTTTTCCTCGTAAGTCAAGGCTGTGTAGGTGATAAATACCACAGGATATCTTTTTTTTTGTTTGTTTTTAATAAACTTTGCTACCTCAAAGGAACCATGGATTAGGAAAAGACAGAAACTAACTCTCTGGATGCGATATATAGTTTTTCCTGGCTAGGCTGCAGTTGACTTTCACTTTTTCTCCAAAGGTTTGGACTTATGTGGAAGGGGGAGTAGGAAAAGTCAATATTCATATTTGCAGATTGTTTAAATTCCTCTTTCTCTGATGGGTTTGTTCATATTTTCTGCCTGTTTACTCCTAGGCTATTGAATCTTTATAATTTCTAGGATCTTTTACATTAGACATGTTAACCTTTTGTCTGTCAGTTACATTGAATATATTTTTCCAGTCTGTCACTTGTAAACATTTCCCATAACATAAATTTATATGAAGTGTGTCAATGTTTTCCCCTTTATAGGTTTGGGTTTTCTGTTTTAAAAACTTTTCCTTCAAGAAAGGAACACAGTAACACAAGCACTGCCATAAAAAAAATCCTCAAGAGTATATTTTTGACTGTGAAAAAATTTTACCCTCCTCCAGTATGGTGTACACATTGGAAATTTCTGCTTTTCATGACTGAAGTTTCTGTTTGTCACAATGGGAGTTGAATTATTTTTACCTGAAATTAAGCTCACAATTTTCAGATTTGGTCCAGTGTCAAGGCAGGATATGTAAGAGACATAGGTTTGGTCCCTGGGTGGGGAAGATCCTCTGGAGAAGGGAATGGCCATCCACTCCAGTATTCTCACCTGAAGGATCCCATGGACAGAAGAGCCTGGCGGGCTACAGTCTATGGGGTCCCCAAGAGTCAGACATGGCTTAAGTGACTTAGCACGCAGGGCAGATTTAAAGGGGTGATAGTCTATTCCTATAATTTTTTTCCCTTCTTTTTAAAAAAAGTCATTGCGTAATACTGCTTCTTCTCCACTGACCTTATGGTACTAGTTTTCTCCTTGGCAATTTAGAAAGGCTCCTGGGCAGAAAGCTGTAGGATTGTTTGTCTTCTTGAGTTGAAATAACAAGTGAAAGCTACAAAGTTTGGACTCATTTATCCCTGCAAGGCTTGCCTGCATTTATGGAGTCCATCTCATTTCAGTTTAAGGGCAACCCACTTGGAGGAAATGAGTCCAGACTTTGTAGCTTAAGAAAGTCAACTGAAGGGACACAGACTGTGACCCAGCAACACTTTGCACTTATCAGCTTCCTGAAAGGTGGTCCTTTCTGATTGATAGGATTCTATGAAAATAAATTATCTGACTCTTCAAATTCCTTTTTTCTTCCCATGGGATTTCTTTTGATTCTTAAATGCAAATTGGGTTTTACTTCACAAAATGTAACAGAAGAGCTAATTAAAACATTTCTGCCAATTCTCTTTAATTCCACAGCATAGCTTTTCAAATAATGCATTTAGTTCATATTTTGAAACTGTAACCACTTGAGGGACCTTAATTTTTTTTTTTTTTGGTTAAAGTTTGTTTATACTCATTTCTTTCAATATTTTAGGAGAATATGATATTTAACCAAAGGCAAAGAACATGATGTTTAGATTTTTTTCCTAAGTTGGAATGAAAAACAGGGAACTGTATCAAGAGTGGTGTTTTCACACTATATGTCATATTCCTCACTTTATAGTTCTTGTGAACAACAGCTTTGCTAATCTGTCTGAACACTTTGTTTGACAAGAACCATAGTATGCTCCATGATGGATGGGAGAGGTCCAGGTAGATGTTGAGTCTCATTTGGATTTTGGTCTTTTCACAGCATGCTGTGAGGCTAAGTAGGATAGATAATTTTCAAAACTATAGGATGATATGAAGTAATGCTTGGAGAGTCTTCTAGATTCCAATTATTAGACTATAATTGTGTAGTCTATTTTCCTCTCTTGGAAGGTTATAGGTTGACTTTCACAGCAAAATTTGCTAGTTTTCCCAATATCCATTCTTCTCTTCTTTGTTAGAAATGGGAATCCTGATTTTTCACAAGGCTTCTTTCCTTCACGATAAAAGACTCCTTCTCACTGCTTTCCTTGAATCTGGGAATGGCCTAGCAACCTATTTAATCAATAAGAAATAAGCATAAATGTTGCCTGTAAATTCCTAGAAGACTTGGTAAAGGTAGGATTGGTTTTTACTTGCCCCTTTCCTTTATACACTACTTGGAAAAAGGGGGATATGGTTGGAGCTCTAGCATATTGCTTGAACTTTCAAAATGAAGACTGTACTTTCAGTTGGAGCTGAGCAATGAAAGATGCTTTCATCTCTTATGTCTTTTATTGCATAAGAGATGAATAAACTTGTGTTTTGTTTAAGCCAGTTTTTTCCTTAAATATGCAAACATTCCTAACTATGTAGTAGGATTTAGTACTAGTAATGGAATACTGAAATAAAAAAAAAAAAAAAGAAAATATAGTAATGGCATAGCAGAGGCAGTTGAGTAATAAACGGTGTAGATCCTGTCCTCTAGAGAGCCATTGACCATTGTAATGTCATAGTAGAACATTGACAAACTATCCTATTGGAAGGCATACCACCTATGGACTGAAGTCAGACATAAGGGGGAAAGTTCAACAAATTGAGAATGTGAGAAAGTCTTCTCTGCTACACAATGCTTTTAGAGAAGTCTTAGGATAGACACATTGCAACTGAATTTAGATGAGTATTTCAAGCAGAAATAGACCTGCTGGAGATTTGCTTCTTTGCTGAAGAATGTCTCTACCTATGGTGCCAAACTGTCTTGATAGGGAATCCCAGAATTTACATCCTCACAGGGGTGAAAAAGTCAATTGCTCCTGTATCCAAACTTAAGTAGTAGTGACAAAACTGAAGTCTTAGCTGGTGGTAAGATTGTGGCCCCTTAAAGGTCCTTGCTTGACCAGAGAATGGAATCCAGCCTTTGGTCAATATTTGAATTAAAGGTATAGTGTGTATTCATTTAGTAAATGGTAAATGAGCTCCTATAATATTCTTGACTGCCATTGAAATAGAAATAAAAAAGCAATCAAGGTAAGTGGGAAGTGACAGAGTGCCATTTTCAATAGGATTGATGGGATAGACCTCATTAAGAAGATGACATTTACTTCAAGACTTGAAAGGGTTGAAGGAGTGAGCCCTGTGGTTCTCTGGGCAGAATATTTTAGGGAGAGGGAGTGGCTAGTAAGAAGGGTCCTTATTTGTACCAGGGCTCTGTAGAATGGTAGAGGTCAGTGTGATTAGAGCAAGCATAGAGGGTAAATGAGGTAGGGGCAGACCCTGTATAACCTTGAGGACCACTATGATGATGTCGACTTTTGCTTAGGTTGTGAGCCTTTGAAGATTTTTGAACGGAGGGGCAAACTGATCTTATATATGTTTCCAAAGTGGATCCTATTGCAGTTTTGAGAATAGTCAATAGAGAAGCAAGGGGAGTGAGATGAGTAGGGGACTACTGCAGTATCCAGAGGAAAGAGGATGGTAGTCTGTCCCAGAGTGTACCTGTGAAAGGGCCAAGAAGTGGTTGGAAGTTGCATATATTTTGAAGGTAGAAACGCCAATACTTTGGCCACCTGATGTGAAGAGCTGACTAATTTGAAAAGACCCTGATGCTGGGAAAGATTGAGGACAGGAGGAGAAGGGGGCAACAGAGAATGAGACGGTTTGATGGCATCACCGACTCAATGGACATGAGTTTGGGTAAACTCTGGGAGTTGGTGATGGACAGGGAGGCTTGACGTGCTGTGGTTCATGGAGTCGCAAAGAGTCGGACACACCTGAGCAACTGAACTGAACTGAGACCAACATGATTTTTTAGAATTTATCTCCCCTCCCAAACTTACTTTTCCCAGAAGACTTGAGGCAGTGGCTATTTATGTGACACTTTTAATTCACAGACTTTTAGTAAAGCAGATTGCCCTCCATCAAGTGGATGGGTCTCATCCAATCAGTTGAAAGTTCTTGAGTAGCAGAGAATTCTGCAACTGATGATTTTTGGACTTGAACTGCAACTCTGGCTCATTCCTGAGTTGCCAGCCTACTGGTCCACTCAGCAGATTTTGGACTGATCAGCCTCCACAGCCTCCACAGCCTCTGTAAAATAAATCCACATATACATATCCTATTGTTTTTGTTTCTTTTGAGAACCGTGCCTAATACAGGAGAATTATGCATTAGCATTGTGAGAAATTTTTTAAAATTTTCTTTTAAGTGTTAATCTCATCCAGAACAACCTCATAGAAATATTTAGAGTAATGTCTGATAATGTATCTGGGCATCACAGCCCAGTCAAGTTGACACATAAAATTAATCATCATGCCTCCTAAGTTCATGTATATATTTACAATACTTTATGTCACTTTTCCCGATGATCTCAGGTGTAGATTCAAAATTCTTCTCAACATCGTGGCTTAAACAGACAAGTTAACATAAGGGTTGGAACGTATTTTTTATCTCTGATTCATAAACTAAAAAACAAATTCTTAGTTTGACAAGACCCCAAACTTCTATTTCCCTGCAACATTATCATCCTTTCTGCTTCTTAGGCTTTGCCTTCTCTCTGACTCTCTTACACACACAAACACAGTGGCCTATTCTAGCCACACCTAATAATTCAGTTTTTAAACTAACCACAAACTTTTTTAAACTTTAAGTTTTCTATCTATTATTTGTTTGTTATAATTACACAATGGATTTATACTGCTTATGTAATAAGAAAAATAGTTAATGAATATGAACATTGTGAAAGAATCATTGAGGTAAAAAGATGAAAAAGTTTATAGGTCTAGTTAAATCCACTCACTTTTAGATTCAAAAACAGAGGACCAGAGAGATAAGTGACTTGTTGAAACTCAGCTTGTTAGAAGTGATCTTGGGACTATTGACCAAGTTTCTAGTTTCTTAGCCCTAAAGTACCTCTTTTACTATAGACTAACCACAAACTTTTAGATCCTTGCATTTGTGAATCACACATTCTTCCAGATTACTTTCCTTTTATTCACAAACTCTATCAAGTGTCAAAAAAGATGTCCTAACACCCAAAAAAGATGTCCTTTATCATTATAGGGGAAAGTGAAAGTGAAAGTTGCTCATCCGTGTTTGACTCTTTCTGACCCCATGGACTACACAGTCCATGGAATACTCCAGGCCAGAATACTGGAGTGGGTAGCCTTTCCCTTCTCCAGGAGATCTTCCCAACCAGGGATAGAACCCAGGTCTCCCTCATTGCAGGCAGATTCTTTACCAACTGAGCCACAAGGAAAGCCCAATATATCATTATAGGGGACTGGAATACAAAAGTAGTAAGTCAAGAAATATCTGGAGTAACAGGCAAAGTTGGCCTTGGAGAATAGAATGAAGCAGGGCAAAGGCTAATAGAGTTTTGCCAAGAGAACTCACTGGTCATAGCATACACCCTCTTTCGACAACACAAGAGAAGACTCTACACATGGACATCACCAGGTGGTCAATATCTAAATCAGATTGATTATATTTTTTGCAGCCAGTGATGGAGAAACTCTTTACAGTCAGCCAAAACAAGACCGGGTGAACTCCTTATTGCCATATTCAGACTTAAATTGAAGAAAGTAGGGAAAACCACTAGACTATTCTGGTATGACCTAAATCAAATCCCTTATGATTATACAGTAGAAGTGAGAAATAGATTGAAGGGATTAGATCTGATAGACAGAGTACCTGAAGAACTAAGGATGGAGGTTCATGACATTGTACAAGAGGCAGGGATCAAGACCATCCCCAAGAAAAAGAAATGCAAAAAGGCAAAATGGCTGTCTAAGGAGGCCTTACGAATAGGTGAGAAAAGAAGAGAAGTGAAAGGCAAAGGAGGAAAGGAAAGATATTTCCATTTGAATGCAGAGTTCCAAAGGATAGTGAGGAGAGATAAGAAAGGCTTTCTCAGTGATGAATGCAATAGAGGAAAATAATAGAATGGGAAAGACTAGAGATCTCTTCAAGAAAATTAGAGATGCCATGGGGACATTTCATGCAAAGATGGGCTGAATAAAGGACACAGAAATGGTATGGACCTAACAGAAGCAAAAGATATTAAGAAGAGGTGGCAGGAATATGCAGAAGAACTGTACAAAAAAGATCTTCACAACCCAGATAACTACAATGGTATGATCACTCACCTAGAGCCAGATATTCTGGAATCTGAAGTTAAGTGGGTCTTAGGAAGCATCATTATGAACAAAGCTAGTGGAGGTGATGGAATTCCAGCTGAGCTATTTCAAATCCTAAAAGATGATGCTGTGAAAGTGCTGCACTCGATATGCCAGCAAATTTGGAAAAATCAGCAGTGGCCACAGGACTGGAAAAGGTCAGTTCCCATTCCAATCCCAAAGAGAGGAATGCCAAAGAATGTTCAAACTACTGCACAGTTGCACTCATCTCACATGCTAGTAAATTAACACTCAAAATTCTTCAAGCCAGGCTTCAACAGTACATGAACCGTGAACTTCCAGATGTTCAAGCTGGTTTTAGAAATGGCAGAGGAACCAGAGATCAAATTTCCAACATCTGTTGGATCATCAAAAAAGCAAGAGAATTCCAGGAAAACGTCTACTTCTGCTTCATTGACTACACTAAAGCCTCTGACTGTGTAGATCATAGCAAATTGTGGAAAATTCTTCAAGAGATGGGAATACCAGACCACCTGACCTGTCTTTTGAGAAACCTGTATGCAGGTCAAGATTTAACAGTTAGAACCGGACATGGAACAACAGACTGGTTTAAAATTGGGAAAAGAATACATCAAGATTGTACATTGTCATCCTGTTTATTTAACTGACATGCAGAGTACATCATGCGAAATACCAGGCTGGGTGAACAACAAGCTGAAGTCAAGGTTGCTCTGTGAAATATCAATAACCTCAGATATGCAGATGACACCACCCTTATGGCAGAAAGTGAAGAGGAACTACAGAGCCTCTTGTTGAAGGTGAAAGAGGAGAGTGAAAAAGCTGGCTTAAAACTCAACATTTAAGAAAACTTAAAATCATGGCATCCGGTCTCATCACTTCACGGCAAATAGTTGGGGAAACAACAGAAATGGTGACAAACTTTATTTTCTTGGGCTACAAAATCACTGCAGATTGTGTGTCTGTTAGTCATTCAGTTGTATCTGACTCTCTATGACCCCATGGACTGTAGCCCGCCAGGCTTCTCTGTCCATGGGATTCTCCAGGCAAGAATAATGGAGTGGGTTGCTGTGCCCTCTTCCAGGGGATCTTCCCAACATAGGGATTGAGCTTGGGTTCCCCACATTACATGCAGATTCTTTTATTGTCTTAAACCACTAGGGAGTCCCCAAACTTTAGTTATAAGATAAATAAGTACTAGGGATATAACATGAAATGTGAAAAGTATAATTATCAGTGCTCTAAGTTATATATGAAAGCTGGTAAGAGAGTAGATCCTGAGTTCTCTTCACAAGGACATTGTTTTTTCTATTTCCCTAATTTTGTATCTACATGAGATGATGGATGTTAACTAAACTTATTGTGATAATAATTTCATGATGTGTGTAAGTCAAATCATTATGCTCTACAACTTAAACCTATATAAAGCTGTATGTCAATTACATCTCAATAAAACTGGAAGAAAAATATAATAAACTTCATTAAACTCCAGAAGAACCCTAGAACTACCATATGATGGATATTTATCTGAAGGAAACAAAATCACTATTTAAAAAAAGATACCTGCATCCTCACAGTCATTGCATCATAATTTGCAATAGTCGAGACAATGGAGCAACCTGTGTCCATTAGCAGATGACTAGGAAAAAAAAGATGTGTTTTATACACACACACACACACACACACACACACATATATATATATATACACACAATGGCATATTATATATGTATATTTATATACACACACAATGGAATACTATTCAGCCATAAAAAGAAAACCTTGTCATTCATTATAGCATGGATGGACCTTGAAAACATTGTGTTTAAATGAAATATTTTAGACAGAGAAAGTTAAATACTGTACAATATGGAGTCTAAAAACAAAATGAAAGGCCAAAACAGAAAACTAAATCATTGATACATAGAACAGATTGGTGGTTGCCAGAGTTCAGGGTAGTAGGTAGGTGAAATGAATGAAGGTGATCAAAAAGTACAGTCTTCCACTTATAGAAAGAATGAGTTCTGGGGACGTAATATACAGCATGTTGTCTTTTTTAAAAGAGTTTAAAATCCAAAATTATTGTGACTTAAAAATGTTAGAAAATTTTTTTGGCTTCTCTTACAGAAGTCCAGAGGAAGGATTAGCAAGGATTACCTAGATGTATGTCTAGAATTGTTATGGCAATTCCATAATGTCATCAGCATCCAATTTTCTTCATGTTCTCTGCTATGCCATTTGTAGGGTGTTGCCCTTGTCCTTATAGTCCAAGATGGTAACTGGGCCTCCAGCCGTGCCAACTGCATTCAAGGTTACCGGCAAAGGGAAGAGCAAATTAAGTATGCACTTCCTAACTTTTAAAGGAATTTCCCAAATTCTCACTTTTGCTTACAATACTGCCTGAATTTAGTCATATAACTACCAGAAAAGTTGGGAAATGTAAGTTAGCTTTGAAGCAACGTGTCCAGCTAAACTTGAGGTTTTGCTTTACCAAAGTACAAGAATAGATATTGAATGGCAACTGGAAGCTTTTAAATGAAAAAAAAAAAAAAAAGAGGGCTAAAGATGGATCCCTATATCATTTAAGTTGGTGAAGTAGGCTGAAAACCAACCATATGGGTAGGAGAAGAATGAAGCCAAGTTTCAGGGAGAGGTGGATAATATGTTGAAAATCAGAGAACTGTCCTTAAAGCACAGCAAATTAATTTGATTTATAGATGGCCATTGGTGACATTCAAGTGTTCATTTCCATTAGCAGATGCTTGTCAATGGAAAACCCACCAAATACTCCAAGGCCTGGGAGGCAGCCAAGGCAAAACTGACCAGTTACACTATACTCACATGGAGAATTTCCATGGTTTGGATTCATTTTCTGTCTCTGCAGTCTTCTGGGTTTGCAGATAAAGGGATTGAATC